ACCTTAGCAATAGAATTCAATATGTTCTTTATTACAAAAGAGCCTCTTCCTTGCAGTCTACAATGTATGGTGTACCACAAGGTTCCATTCTGGGCTCAGTTTTATTCCTTTTGTATATCAATGATATTGTATACACTAGCCCCTTTTTAAAATTCATACTGTATGTAGATGACAGCAACATCTATGCCTCAGGTCACTCATTACATCATCTCATCACTATGGCTAGTCAGGAATTTAAGATACAGAAATGGTTGTTAAGCAACAGATTAACTCAAAATACAGAAAAGTTACATTTTGTCATTCTTAATAGAAATAAAGTAATTCCTAATAACCTTCCATAATTAAAGATTGGACCTTCTGTTATTAAATGGGAAAAAAGTACTAAATTTTGGGGTCTACTTATAGACGAAAGACTTGCATGGAAAGATCATAATAACAAAATTCATGCAAACATTTACAAGTAATGTGCTATTTTATATCACACCATTATAAAGGCAATGAAATAAATAAACTATGCACTAATATATCCTCATTTGTCCTATTGTATAGTGCTATGGGGAGGAACTCATACTACCAATTTCTAACCACCAGTGAAGGCACAAAAAATGGTAATAAGAACAATGGCAGGTCTACCAAGGTATGTACCCACAGTTAATGCCTTTAATGAACTAATTAAAAAAAAAACTATTGAAACTGAGCAATATTTCAGTTCACTCTTCATGTTTAAATTGACCATCTCCCACATTACCAACTTTTTTACATACAGAGTAAACAAAAGGTATCTTTCTGAAACTGTAATTTCCTATATATTCCATTAATACAATCCTCATAATCATAGTCTTGCATTCTTTATCGTGGCCCAAAAATCTCGAAAAACCTTCCCAAGCATGTTAGGAAATGTACAACTTTACTGTCTTTTAAGAAACTTTTAAAACCATATATTATGTCATTTTGATAGATATTATGTCATCTCCATCATACATTCCAAAATACCTATTCTTACTATTTTCTTATATATTTTTTTGTTTTGAAGTCTAACTGCCATAACTTGTGTATAGTTTTGTAAATCTTTCTCTCTCTCTCCCACAATTCCTACCCTCTCTCTCTCTCTCTCTCTCTCTCTCTCTCTCTCTCTCTCTCTCTCTCTCTCACTCTCTTTCTCTCTCTCTCTCTCTCAGTTTTTTTTTCTCTCTCTCTCTGATCTCATCTCAGTCTCTCTCCCCCTCTTTATCTCAGTCTCATCTCAGTCTCTCTCCCCCTCTTTATCTCACTCACTCTCCTCCTTATTTAGCTCAGTCTCTCTTCCACCTCTTGACCTCAATCTCCCTTCCCCCTCTTTCTCAGTCTCTCTCCCCCCTCTTTATCTCAGTCTCTCTCCCTCTTTCTCAGTCTCTCTCTCCCGTCTCTCTCTCTTTCCTCTCATCTGTCTCTCTCTCTCCCCCTCTTTATCTGTCTCTCTCTCTTTATCTGTCTCTCACTCTCCCCTCTCTATCTCATTTCTCTCCCCTCTTTATCTCAAGTCTCTCTCTCCCTTCTTTATATCAGTCTCTCTCTCCCCTTCTATATATCAGTCTCTCTCTTCGTCATCTTTATCTATCTCTCTCTCTCCCCTCTTTATCTATCTCTCTCCCCCCTCTTTATCTCAGTCTTTCTCTCCCCCCCTCTTTATCTCAGTCTTCTCTCCCCCTCTTTATCTCAGTCTTTCTCTCCCCCCTCTTTATCTCTCATCTGTCTTTCTCTCCCCCCTCTTTATCTCAGTCTTTCTCTCCCCCTCTTTATCTCAGTCTCTCTCTCCCCCTCTTCTCAGTCTCTCTCTCCCCTCTCTTCTTCCCTCTCCCCCTCTTTATCTGTCTCTCCCTCTCTCCCTCTTTGTCTCTCTCTCCCTCCTTCTATCTCAGTCTCTCTCTCCCCCCCTTTATCTCAGTCTCTCTCTCCCTCCCTCTCTTTATCTCAGTCTCTCTCTCCCCCTCTTTACCTCAGTCTCTCTCTCCCCTCTTTATCTCAGTCTCTCTCTCTCCTTCTTTAATCAGTCTCTCTTTCTCCCTCTTTATCTCAGTCTCTCTCTCTCCCCTCTTCTCTCTCTCTCTCTCCTCTTCTTTATCTCAGTCTCTCTCTCCCTCTTCTTTATCTCTCTCTCTCTCCTTCTCCTCTCTCTCTCTCCTTTTCTCCTTCTCTCTCCCTCCCTTCTCCTTCTCTCTCTTCTCCTTCCCTTCCCTCCCTTCTCCTTCTCTCTCTCTCGTCTCTCTCTTCTCCTTCTCTCTCTCTCCCCTTCTCCTTCTCTTCTCCCTTCTCTTTCTCTCTCTCCCCCTCTTCTTCTCACTTCCCCCTTTCTCTCCTTCTCTCTCCCGCTTTCTCCTTCTCTCTCCCGCTTTCTCCTTCTCTCCCCTTTCTTCTCTCCTTTCTCTTCCCGTCCCTTCTCCTTCTCTCTCTCCTGTTCCCTTTCTCTCTCTCCCCTCTTCTCTTTCTCTTTCTCCCCCTTTCTCCTTCTCTCTCTTTCCCCTTCTCCTTCTCCCTGTCCCTCTCTTCCTTAGCAAAGCTTTTCCTTACCTGAACTCTGTTGGCCTGGTCTAAGGCTGAACAATTGTTCTCCATGGAAAGAAATATATAATGATCTTCAATTGACGATGGAGGAGGCTCATCCTGGTTGCAGACATTCCATTCCAGCGCATCAGACACAGGGTAGTATACCTTTCAAGATTAACAGATATATGATTAGTCTGATAAAAGGGGAACAACAGATTGCACTAAAATAAACCTAAAACTATATTAAGAAACAAATTGCATTAAATTAAACCTAAAACTATATTAAGAAGCAATATATATAGGTGAATGACTTCCATGGTTTCTTTTTTCTTGACTTAACATCATGAAGTAGCAAGTCAAACTGTTGTTAACACTAAATTTTAATTAAGTTTATCATTGGAATCAATAAAAAAATTGCAATAAAATAATGACAATAAATATAAATATATGCATTTCGTTGCATTAATCACAAATCAAAAGAACACTGCACTTACTGCACTCTCCTCACTATCAACTAAAGTTGTTATGCTATTGAAATACACAATGCAGTGCTTCTCGGTAAATGTGGTGGAGGCATTTGGCCGACTGCTCAGGACTCCGCATATTGGGAATTCACCAGACACCTTTTGGGGGTGGAAGAGATAAGGACAATTGTAAAGAACCAAGAGAAATTCAAAATAAACTTACAGATGATAGAATAAAAAACTGCTACCACAAGTAATAACAATAATAATGGCAATAAACCACAGAGCAAACCAGAGAGAAATACAGAAAAACTAACGCAGCCCAGCATAAACATAAACACATAAAACAACGCTATTAAAAGAAAAGGTTAATTAAAGGTAGGCCCACAATGGCATATCAAAGTTCTTACACACACACATTAAGCGGTGCCAAGGACTGGGGTAGTGATCAACAAAACTCCACTTCACACAGCATTCTGATAAAACAAAACATTTAAGCCGTCTTGCAATTCATCACAATCATCATAAAAAAAAATGAGGGGGGGGGGGGGGAGTGAGGAAACAAACCAGTCTCTATCTTGCCACAATACATGTTGCGGAGGTCTGCTTGTCTTTCACAGTAAGAACATACTTTTCAGGTAATAAAATATAAAGGTAAATATATACGACCTTTGTGCTACTGCTAAGGTTTGTTTTTTCAGCTGTCTTTCCTAAAACTATAAACTATTATTTCTTATATTCTGTCATTTATCAGAATAAATAAAAGGACAAAATACTATAAATATATAAACTTACAAAAAAATATACTCTAAAATTCTTAAATTAATATCATAACAAAAAACAAAAATATGTCCTGTAGAATACTTAACAAACAGATAACAATAGTAATTGAAGAAAGGAAAAAATGAATGAATAATTGATAAAGACAAATTGATAAAAGGAATTAGATAAACAAAACTAATAGTAACACTAATACTGATCCCTCGCAGATCTCCCTACCAATTTACTGTCAAATATGGGAGTAGTCCAAGCTTCACATTGCCAGAATGGCCATAGAGGACTGCTGTCCACAGCTAGCACAGGTAGCATAGGAACTGCTGCAATGGCTTGACAATGCACCATTACTTCATTATACAATATATACATGAATGATTTCTGGGCCTTAGCCAGAGTACCAAGTGCTAATATCAATCTGACCATTAATATTTCTATAGAACTACCATAGTACTGTCGTTGTTGTTTTAACTTTCATCAACTTATTTTTTTTCTTTTAAATATCAGCATGGTCCTATTCTGGATGATTACCATACTTATAACAGAAATTATAAAAATTATTTTATCACCAACATATTTCTTGTAATACTGTAAAATTTTAGAAGTATTAAACATCTTCTGAATAACTGCTAAATTTGGGAAAAGAGAGGGTAAACTGCTAAGTAAACATGCTTCTGCAAAATATGATAACTTAAACTGGTAAAATGGGAAATGAAATCTGATGCAGAAACAGGAATCTGACTTTGCCATCCCCAGAACATAACATTCTACGACACGTATTCTATACCACTTCCTTTACAAACTAAAATGGGCAGTAAAGAGGATGTAAAACTCAAAATTTCTCTGAGCTCCAAGTTACTTACTTCACCAGCACTAAGAGAAAACGCCATGAAATAAAATACAAAAATAAAATGGGATAGAATGTACCAGATGATGTATGCAAGGGAACTCAAATTAAGAAGTGCACTTGGTTATGAAATGACAAATGCTACTAGCAACCAATCTATTAGAGCTAACAAGAATTTTGATAGATAATCATGTAACAACAGAAGTTAGACCTAAGGGAGTTAGTTGAAATTTTTATCAGTTCTATCATGACTAGGCTGTGGATATAGTACCAGGAAAACTTTTACAGTATGGGCACACTAAGTTGGGGCAAATTGATGATGATATTCTTGTAAAGGAATAGTAATGCCACAAATAAAGGAAAAAGGTCGTGGAAAGCATCTCTCACAGCCT